TAATTATGATGAGAATAACGCGAACATGTAACCATTATCTCGGATTAGAGTGTAATCAGGTGTATACGACGAATACCATTAAGAACGAAAGAATGCGCCGATGAGATTTCATAATTTTATGACGATGAAAAATTTGAGGTGATGAGAAATTCAGGAGGAGAAGGGAGCGCAGAATGAGATTTTCCAAGATCGGTTAAAAAACAGATCTTGTTTTCTTTCTGTCTTCGAAGGCGGTCCCTTCTTATGGAGGAAAAAGGTCCTAGAAACGCAGGTTATGAATGCAAATGCGAAAAATAAAATTTTTTACTCGTATTCCAGTTATGAATATCTGTTTGCGCAGTTTTAAGCCGTTAAAAGAGAGGTGGTTACAGAATTTCAACGAACTGAATTGGTAGGAATTGCATATAAAAGCGTTGCGGCAGTAAAAGCGAACCCAAAACTAAGGAATATTTAAGTTAAATGTCCGAAATTACGAAAGATTTTTCCCTCGTCCATCTTCACTTATCAAAAGCTGGGCACGGTGCTAGCGAGAGGGGAAGGGGGGAGGGTGGGGGGAGGGGAGGGGAAAGATATGCATTCATAAAAAGTGTCATAAACGGGCTTCATGTATCACTAGAATATCAAGTTTTGCATGCAGCAGAGGCTTTATGATTTTTCAGAAAACCTAGCTGATCTTTGTGCAGAATTTTTCAGTAGTTCATGCCAGAGAAAGGCAAATTCCGCTAAATTAGAAAGAGACGGAAATATGATAAGTTCTTTTATCAATAACTATTACTACGATTACCAAGACTGCTCGGACAGTCTATACGAGAACCGAATGTTAATTGGCGACTTTTACGCACCAGTCAGATCCACCAGTCACGAGTTGCATGCCTCCAGTTAGTACTCACCACTTGCTCCATGTAACTGTGCCACTTTTTCGATGTTGCGCGAGTGGTCACCTACTTTCTCACATGGTCGCAATGACATCCTGTATGCTCCAAAAGTGAGCAAAACTAAAAATTATTGAGAAACCACTGT